TCTTGCGTACCTTGAAAGTCAGGGTTCGAAAATCTTGCCTTCCTCTCTAGTCATCCTACTGTGGTAATGGCTCTTAAATCCTTGAGCCCTGACCACCGCTTTACCGGTGGTAGAGAAAAATGACGTAATGCTCAGCCACCGGTTGAACAGTGGTAGAGAAAAATGACGTAATGCTCAGCCACCGGTTGAACGGTGCGTATAGACGTGTAAATGCTTTTATATCTACCGTGAAACATTACATACCAATTATTTGCGAATTTTGACTCAGTTCAGTATCGCAAGATTAAGAGGGTTATATATATATATATATATATATATATATATATATATATATGGTGGACTCTCCCGTCGTATTCGACGTATAAGAGTCAAGCAGGAACCGACAGCCCAGACACCAGCACATATGATCTGGTTATAGTAGTGAAGGCTTTGTGCAGAACCAACCACACTTATTGAAGGGCCGAATACAGAGATCTGGTGCACTACCCGTCACAAGGTCTCCAAATAATCCTGGTATGAGTAGGTGACGTCTATGTTATGACTAGGTGACGTCCATGGTATGATTAGGTGACGTTTATGACAAGATGATGTCCTTGGTGTGACTAGGTGAGGTCATTGGTATTTTGAATTCAAAGTTGTCGTCCTAGGAGGAGGGAGAAGAAATAGTAAGAGTAATAGCACGTAAATGAATGTAATGGATTCGACTGGAATTCGAACTCGGGTCTCCGATTCATCAATCCGGACCGCTATCCACTACTCCACCGTGGCACTGTATGTATGTATGTATGTATGTATGTATGTATGTATGTATGTATGTATGTAATTTAATAAATTCGCACCACAAACTTTCATTTTTACTACTGTTCCATCAATACTCTTTGCAGTGAGGGCGATGCTGCGTAGATCACGTTCAGTGTAATCCGATTATGCGTCGTAGGTGCTAAAGAGAAGATCAATATGTAGTAGCGATGTATAATTTTGATCTTTGAAGATTGGAATTTTATTTACTTTATGAAGATTCAACGAAAAAAATAGTTGTTCAAGGAGAAAAGGAAACTTGTTTTCAAGAAGAATCTTATCGATATCAGATAACACATAGGCGCGCCCGCGCGCTCACACACATACGCATATATGTATACTTATGAACACATAATCTCATAGATGTATGTAAAACTATGCACACAGACACACATATATATGTAAATATATTCATACACAGATGTATAAATAGTTATGCACCCATAGATGTATGTATTATTAGGTTGAGATATGTAAAATTATATATGACTATATGAATATATATATATATATATATATATATATATATATATATATATACCACACACACACACACACACACACACATATATATATATATATATATATATATATATATATATATATAAATTACATCGAGCATTAATTTAGTAACAACACATCACCACTCAATTTGCAATATCTTCTCTCTCTGTCTCTCAATATATATATATATATATATATATATATATATATATATATATATATATATATATATATATATATATATATATATATATATACATATGTATACGTCAGTATAGTTTTGAGCAGATTCAAAGAAACAGTAAAACAATGACAATGATAAATGACATTAGTAATATGAGAAAATAAATGTTTTCTAATTTTTTCGCTAGCGTACAAACACGCACACACACACACACACACATATATAAATATATATATTGATCAGGAAGAATTATACCTATATGTATGTAGAAGGATATTTGCGTATATGTATATGTGTGTGTGTGTGAGAGAGAGAGTCTGTGCGTGTGTATTAATAAATATACATATACCTAAGTATCTGAAGACTTGGGAAACCATGAAACTTTAAGTTGCGCTACATAGGTATATGTGTATTTATTAATATATACTTCATATCACTATTTTGTTTACGCCATGAATTATATTAAATATTTATTTGCTTATCTCTCTATGTACGCTATCGCACGCATATACAGTTGCTAATATCTCGTTATTTATGTTCACACTTCTTTCTTTCTATCTAATTATAAAATATATATTATATTTCTTTACTATATAGTGATTTTCCAAGCCCGGCTTAGATGTGGCAAAAGGCCGAAAGTATGTGGCACCTCAGTCGTAATCGATCTAGCAAGACAAACTTTCTAACCATTACACCACGTCGAGGTGCCCAATTTCTTTACTATATACAGGGTGTTTCAAAACATTTGATATCCTTTGAGATGTAAATATCACAGAAAGTACATGATTAAGGCAAATGAAATTAAAAAGTATTAATCTTGAAGATCATAAGATTTATTCTTCCAAATCTGAATGAGAAATTCAAAAGCATGTGGATTATGTGAACGATTTCACAAATGTGAAGTTTGTGGTCGTCCGGATCCTTTTGCTCTGCACAGACAGCCTTCCTCTTTGAACTTTTTTATGCCATCTCCAAATCTGCATTCCTGTTGGTGACTTTCTAGAGAACTCTCTCATAAATGCACGCTGCACAGTCTTGTTTGACTGTGTTCTAGCAAACTCCAACACACAAAACGCCTTTTCTCTTCTAGTAAATAGCATTTTTATACCTGTAAAGAAAAAGATTAAAGATTAAAGAACATAAAAATAGAAATAAGAAAAACACAAAAAAATAAAGACATAAAAACATGAAAAAACATTAAACATAAAGATGCTATAAAAATTTGAAGTCATTTGAAGGAGATCTAACAAAGTTATTAGAATGCGAAATGATATCAAATTTTTTGAAACACCCTGTATATAATATTTTATTATTATATATTCCCTTGTTCCTCCTCCTTTTTTTTGTCTCGTCAGATCCTTTTTCTGGTGGACGTTCATCCTTCTCCAGATTAAAACAAAATCCTCCAAGTTAATGTAGCTCTACTTGATATCCTCCAACTTGAAGTCCTTCATCTCGTAGTACTCCAAATTGATGTCCTCCATCTTGAAGTTCTTCATCTTGAAGTACTTAATCTTGAAGTCCTCCATCTTGAAGTTCTCCATCTTGAGGTTTTTTTTTCTAACTCGATGTCCTGCATATTGAAGTCTCGCTTTGATCACGGACGCATGAGTGTTGGTCCCATAAAATTGGAACTCTTTGCCCTTGACCTCAAGTAAAATCTCCGTGATACCCTGTCATCACAGCAATTGACAGCTGTAAAATTTAATCTAGACTATTGTGGTAGTAGGCTGTTGAACTTACTTGTTCTGTTATATGTGTCTTTTTTTAAAGAAATATTTTCATTCCAAGCAAGGCGATAAAAGCACTAATACGCAAGGTGTTGTCGGGATGAAAAAAAAGAGAATGATGGGAATCAAATAAATGTTACTGAAGAGAAAGGACAAAAAAAGAGAAAAGAAAACAGGACTCACAGAGACAGAAGATGACGTTTTATGTATCTACATTTTTGTAGAAATAGGTCATACCTGAACGTACCTATTCTATTATTAATAGACTCTCCCACACATAATAATAGCTAACCACTACAGATGCCCATGTCATATAGAGATTTTCCAAGCGTAGCTTAGATATGTCACAAGGCCGAAAGAATGGGGCACCCAGTGAGGATCGAACTCACTACTCAGTCGTAATTTTTCAAGCGAAATAAGCTTGCTAACTATTACACCGTCTCGGAGTGCCCATGTCATACATGATATAAAGTATGAACAGATTACCAATATAGTGCTGTTTATAAAAACAGTCGCATTTAGTAATTTAATCTGTTAATTAGCATTTCAATTTTTATTTAAAAAAACTGTTAGCTAGTTAGGAAAATGCAAACGAAAAAGTCGCTTATATTTAGCCTTACGAAAAGCTATGTGTCAAAAGCAGCTGTGCTATGTATTTATTTGTTGCTGCTGTTGGATTTCTTCAAGTGATGAGGTTTTTGTTATTTGGGAAAACTCTTTGAGATTTCTTGGAGCTGTTAGGAAAACGGAAAGAACTCAGCTCAACTAAATTAAGCTTGCGTAAATGGTCGGCAGAACAGGGATTTGGAGAGATAGCGAAAAGGCAAAAGCTACTAAGAATTACAAAGGACAGGAAATTGTGGAGAGCCATGATCACCAACTTCCCGAAGGGTCACGGAATATAGAAGAAGAAGAAGAAGAAGAAGAAGAAGAAGAAGGAGCTTGTGGAAATGGTCGGCAGAACATGGATTAGAAGAGATAGCGAAAAGACAAAATTTACTAAGAGCTACAAAGGACAGGAAATTGTGGAGAGCCATGATCACCAACTTTCCGAAGGGTCACGGAATATAGAAGAAGAAGAAGAAGAAGAAGAAGAAGAAGAAGAAGGATCTTGTGGAAATGGTCGGCAGAACATGGATTAGAAGAGATAGCGAAAAGACAAAATTTACTAAGAGCTACAAAGGACAGGAAATTGTGGAGAGCCATGATCACCTACTTCCTGAAAGGTCACGGAATATAGAAGAAGGAAGAGGAGGAGGAGGAGGAGAAGAAGAAGAAGAAGAAGAAGAAGAAGAAGAAGAAGAAGAAGAAGAAGAAGAAGAAAGAGAAGAAGGATCTTGTGGAAATGGTCAGCAGTACAGGGATTAGAAGAGATAGCGAAAAGACAAAATTTACTAATAATTACAAAGGACAGGAAATTGTGGAGAGCCATGATCACCCACTTCCTGGAGGGTCATGGAATTTAGAAGAAGAAGAAGAAGAAGAAGAAGAAGAAGCTTGTGTAAATGGTCGGCAGAACAGGGATTCGGAGAGATAGCAAAGGACAAAAATCAAGATCTGCAAGGGATAGGAAATTGTGGAGAGCCATGATCACCCACATCTTGAAGGAAACCGCACATAGAAGAATTTTATTGAAGATAAGATCTATAAACTCTTTTCTTGTCGTTGTGATATTTTCATCTTTGGTGAACGTACACCAGGCATTTCTCAGTTTTTGTTTACATCAATATAAACGATAATCAAAGACATTTTGCGATAAGAAACTGGACAAGCGCTGCAGTTGTATGTTTAGAAAAAGTACCACTTCTCACCATCTATTTTCTGTGATAAACAACGAAGTCGTAACGGGTCACAAATTTGGATATTAGCATCAGCAATGCTGATAGAAAACAAAGGAGTTCTCTGAGACAATGAATAAAGAGCTACACAGTGTATGTTGAAGTGGAGAAGAATTTGGCAACGTCTAGTTTTTGACAACGAAACGAAAATGAATAAAAAGAACAGAAATCAGCTATTAGACTTCATAAACGATTAACTTTAGTAAAAGTTGTACGGCAGACTACATTCTCTCGTTTGTATATTGTTATTTCTTGTTGTCAGAAGACAGATAAGCTGCAACGTCCACAAGACGCTTTTGGGAAGAATGTTGTTTTTGTCTTCTGAAGCCAAATAAAAGTATCACATCGACAAATCATTGCTTCAAAGTTCGAGACTATAGCTGCCGGGTCGCTGTTCACTATTTTCTTTCCTGGCTTCGGTACACGACAAAACATTCTTATTTACTTAATAATTCCTGGCAATTTCAATGAAATAGAATGAATTCTTTTCTTCTTAAAAAACAATTTTTCTCTACGTGGGTTATTATATATATATATATATATATATATATATATATATATATATATATATATATATATATATTATATTAGATAATGCTTCTGTTATTTCCATTTCTTCTATGTTCCGTGTCCAGTCAGGACGTGAGTGATCGTGGCTTTCCACAGCTTCCCCTCTTTTGTAGCGTTTAGTGACTTTTGTTTTTGTTGTCTCTCTCAATCCCACTTCAGCTCGTTTGAAACGGCACTCGGTGTTTTCCTCGGCTTCTCTTGCCTTCAGTTTAACATACCAAATGTCAAATTCTCAAAGCCTTCTTTCCGCATTACGTATTAAAGATATTTCAGCTGGTTTTTTTTTCTGACTCTAAGTACAAACATCTTTTTTGTTCCTCGTTACTCGAATATTCGGTCCATGGTATACTATATATATATATATATATATATATATATATATATATATATATATTAAACATTTTCCCCAAGGCAGTAAAGCCGCTAGGATGCAACTTGGTTTCAGTGCATTTCAACTGCACTTCGACGGGTGAGAATCGAAAATGGTTATGAACAATCCTGCTTGTAGGCTAGCCGTGTGTGAAACTGTTGTAGAGTAGTTTTTCACAGTCGAGGCTTGTATTTTACTAAGTCGTCCTAAATTAGGTTCGACGTACAAAACGTTAGGAATTTGCAATAATAATAGTTAATGACGCAGCAATCTAGTTGTGAGGGTTGATACTTCAATGTCCGACATCGACTGACTCACTCAACACCACTGAGCCTCACTGGCGATCGCTACTACTACTAATACTTATGTGTGGGAGAGCCTATTAATAATAAAATAGGTACGTTCAGGTCTGTAGGACCATATCGGAAGTATCTTCTTCATCTCTGAAGATATTGTTCAAGATTCACACCCATATAGAAGAAAATGATATTACATAAAAGTTCGGTACATTTTTTTCAGCCTTCTTCAGATGGTTGGAATGTCGAACTGAACCCTTTATTTCGCTCACTGGGGTAGACTGTTTTAGTTTCATGTGCCTTGTTGTTGTGGAGTGATTTCACAGTAGAGGCTTGTATTTGTACTAAGTCGGTCCTAAAATAGGTTCGACGTACAAAACGTTAGGAACTTGATAGGTATAACGCAGAGTAATCTAGTTGTAGTCGCTGATACTTTCGTATTCGACTAACTGTCGTCCGACATCGACCGACTGACTGACCGACTCATTACTCTTACTACTCCTACTTATTATAGGTGGGTGAATCGATTAACTATAGAATAACTATAACACGTGTCTAATGGATGTCATTTATCAGTTATCTCCTGTTAATTCCCCTTTCCAAGTTCTCCACTGCCTTAAGCAGGTATTGAACTCACAAGTCTTTGGGTCGTGTCACTGGATCTAACCAACGCCTTCATCCACTGTGCTATGTGTCCTTAAGGACAAATAAAGGGTTCGACATTCCAACCACTTGAAGAAGGCCGAGGCGTACATCGGCCGAAACATTGTGATAAATATGGCAACAAAGCTGAGGACAATAGTTCGAATAATGTAAATAGTGTACTTTTTCCTTTGTTTCTCACGAAATTTTCTTGTTTCTTGCTTAGATTTCGAAAAGCACCTTTTTCTATTATAATGGACCTTCTAATTTTGTCGTCACATTTATCGTCCTCTATTTAGATATTTCCTAGATTTATACATTCTTGTACTTATTTGTTTTAATGTTTTTTTTACAAATGATGTTTAGTCCTTTCTTCTCCCTTTCCTTTCCTATGTTATGTGGGAGATACTGTAGCTACTTTTATGCTTCTGCTATCGAAACTCTTTATCTTACTTTATTAAGAACATGGTCACCAGTAATGAATTCTGTTAGGACTTCCAATTCTGTCATGATCGCATCGGAATAAACGTTGAATAAGGTCCGTTGAGAAGACACATCCTTGTCTTAC